GGGAGTTCCATTGAGTATAAACTTCCATGTGGCCATCATGGCGGATCCTCCTTCCCTGTCCTGGTTGGGACACAGGTGCATCATGGGAAAGTGGGCATGCTGGATTGACAGGTGAAGGGCGAAGTTACAATGCAGGGCTGGAGGCAAAAATCATGGAAAATCCCCCAGCTTCTATATTATCTTCCTATCTACCCCCACCCATCAAGACCATAGGTCATTTTTTGTTATGTTCAAGTAAATATAATTAATACCTCATCTCAGTACTCAAAGCGTCAGCTGGACACGAAATGTCAAACTGGACTCGCGGGCTCTGAGGTCTCCCCTGTGGAATCTGCTTTGTAAGGGGCCATCTGGGGCCATAGAAGGACAGGAAGAAACTCATGAAATACAATTCCCGCAGCCATAGAAACAGGCGAGCACAGCTAATGCTTGTTTATGTTGACTCTTCGACGAGTAAACTTAGTACTTTGGGATAATCCCAAAAACACATACTGAAATTGCAATGGAAATGGAGGAAAATTCAGGACTGGGCTGTTGCCAAACAAACTCACCACGAAGGTCTCAAAGACACTCAGTCATACAGCAGTCTGGCAATGAGGCCCCAAAACCCTCCGAGGGGAGCCAGTGCTGTGGCATAGTGGGTAAAGCCGCTGCCTGCAGTGCCGGCATCCCATATGGATGTCGGTTCAAGTCCCGGGTGCTCCACTTCCGATCCAGCTCTCTGCTATGGTCTGGGAAAGCAGTAGAAGATGACCTAAGTCCTTGGGCTCCTGCATCCACATGGGAAGACCTGGAAGAAGCTCCTGGCTCCTGGCTCCTGGCTCCTGGCTTCTGCCTGGCCCAGCTCTAACCATTGCAGCCATGAGGAAGTAGATAGAGGATCCCTCGCTCTCACTCTCGCTCACTCTTTCTGTCTCTCCCTCTCTCTCTGTAACTCTTTCAAACAAATAAGTAAATCTTTAGAAAGAGAGATTTTCTCTTCCCTTTTTCTTCTTTTTTTTTTTAAGATTTATTTATTGGGAGCCGGTGCCTTGGCTCACTTGGTTAATCCTCCGCCTGCAGTGCCGGCATCCCATATAGGCGCCAGGTTGCTCCTCTTCCAGTCCAGCTCTCTGCTGTGGCCCAGGAAGGCAGTGGAGGATGGCCCAAGTGCTTGGGCCCTGCACCTGCATGGGAGACCAGGAAGAAGCACCTGGCTCTCAGCTTCAGATCGGCGCGGCACCGTCTATAGCAGCCATTTGGGGAGTGAACCAATGGAAGGAACACCTTTCTCTCTGTCTCTCTCTCTCACTGTCTGTAACTCTACCTGTCAAATAATAAAAAAAAGAGATTTATTTATTGATTACGGATCTTCCATCTGCTGGTTCACTCCCCAAATGGCCACAATGGCTGGAGCTGAGCCAATCCAAAGCCAGGAACTTCTTCCAGGTCTCCCGCGCAGGTGCAGGGGCCCAAACACTTGGGCCACCCTCCAGTGCCTTCCCGGACCATAAGCCAGGACACAAACCAGAGCCCATATGGACCACTGGCGCCGCAGGTGGAGGCCTAACCTACTACACCACAGCCCCAGCCCTCTCTTCCCTTTTCTTAGAGCATTTGAGAAAATTTGTGTTTTTTAATCCCCCTCTGTTCCCCTGATACTTATGCAAATCTTTTTAAAGATTAAATAAACCTCTTATCAGAATTAAAACCCAGGATTATCTTTCTGAAGGACGTGGGAGCCTCCTCTTTTAAGCATAAACTTAGAAGGGGCCAGCACGCTGTCTCCGTGTCACCAGCTACCTGTCACCAAGGGAGCTTGACCTCAGCGCCCTGACTACCTACTTGTCATTGAGATCCAAGATGCTGATTTTTTTCCTTCTGGAAACGGCAATTATCCAGCAGAGAGGGCTCCCAAGTTGCCAGTGAATGTAGGGTATGCTATGAAATCTTGACAGCACGTGACACGGTGCAGTGTTGTCGCCTGTGGACATGTGAGCAATGGGCTATACCAGGGCGGGGCAAAAAGTTCATGGAACATGCAACAAAAATATTAAGTTTAATTTGGAGTAAAAGAAAGCTTGAAATCCATCCATATAAGAGGTTTTCAAAAAGTTCAAGAAAAATGAACATCATAAGAAACTTAGCATGGATTTCAAAACCTTTTTTTTTTCCGCACCAAAAATAAACTTACCTTTATATTCCATTTCCCCACGAATTTTTTCAAGTTCTTTTGTATAAAGAGGCTGCGATTCCTTCTGTCTCTGTGACGCATCCCAATCTGGTTTCAATGCATAGTCAATCAGAATGATTTTGCTTCCTTTTCCACATTTGGGGGAGTCTGGGTTGGCAGATTTTACAAAAAAAAAAAAAAAAGTTTTCCTGAGCAGCACAAGGTCTGCCTTCCAAGTTACTGTAGGTGACAGTTGAGCACATGTTTTGTCAGGACAGACCACGGGCCCGCGACACTCTGGGGGTTTGTCACAACGTCACCCCACTTCCGCTTTCTGTGCTCATTAAGGTTGGGAGCGATGGCACGGCTACAGCTCAGCCCCCGAGACCCCCGAGGCCCCATCTGGGAGTCTAGGGGAGAACTGTGGGGCCGAGGACTCGCTGAGAAAAGGACTTGGCATTGGAAATCTCGGGCTTGAGTCGTGATTCGTCTCTGACTGGTTGTTTCAACGGAGACGCGTCTTTTCTCGGAGCTTGGGTGCCGTCCCCTAAAAAAATGCGTGTTGCGCACAGGACACGAGGCAGCCGCGAGTGTCTGGGAAATGCTTTAAAAGCTGTAACGCACGAGACGCGCACACCACTTGGCATGACTCAGCTGCCGGCTGTCTCTGGAGGCTCTCTCCCCGCGGGGCCACCGCGTCTTCCGCTGCGTGTTCAAAGAGCAGGGCGAGGTAGACCCCAGCCAGTGCTGCTGGGCGGGACCACAGCGGGACTCCCAGCGCCCACCACTGTGAGTCCTCAGAAGCCCCCCTCCTCCTCAGGCCTGAGCCCGCCCCAGGGTCTGGGAGGTTTCCTAGCTCATGTGTCCACCAGATGATGGAAGCCTGAGAGAAAGAGAGAGAGAGAGAGAGAGAGAGAGAGAGAGAGAGAGAGAGAGAGAAGAGGAGGTCTTTCATCTTCTGGTTCACTCACAAATGGCCACCACAGCCAGAGCTAGGCCAGGCTGAAACTAGGAGCCAGGAGCCATGTGGTTGCAGGGCCCAAAGACTTGGGTCATCTTCCTGGCTGTCCCATGCGCATTAGTAGGGAGCTGGATAGGAATTAGAGCAGCCGGGACTTGAACCTGTGCCTGGTCTGCAGCATATTATTTAGCCAAGTTAAAGAGCCACATCCAGTGAAACTCTTCACTCAGTGATTCCAGGTCTACTTGTAAGTTTCAATGGCAACATCGTTTCCACCGCTCCCTTCTCCACTGTTCTCCTGAGATCAATGAACTCTTGTTGGGATCCATCATAGAGTCAGGATTTCATTGAGAAAACTGGAATAAAACAGGAGGCAAGAAGACGCCAACCACAGAAGTTACAGCATCAAAAAATTTTCTCTGTTGGGCATCAACTCCTGTGCTGTAAGAAAAAAAAAAAAACAGATGGGGCCGGCATTGGGGCGCAGCCGGCTGGGCCACCACCTGTGATGCTGGCATCCCATATGGGCAC